CTCTTTGTTGCTAGGAAGAAACAATTTTCTTGTGGTAGGTGCCATTTATTAACCTCACTGGAGAACCTTAAGATTCAGTCCTTGAACTTTTTTTTTTTTTTAATTGTGAGAATGTTTGGTTCAGTTTTAAAATGGAAACAGAAATGAAAGCAGTTTTTAAAATCAGCCATGAGTTTAAACACAATGTGGCACATTATAATACAGAAACATTTACATAACCAATTCGTATTACTATTATATAGTATTTTCAAATTTTACAAAACTTTTATGTGTATGAGAGTTTTGCCTGCAGGTGTGTCAGAGCACCATGTGTATGCAGTGCCCCTGGAGGTCAGAAGGGGGTGTCAGATCCCCTTGGAACTGAAGTTCAGGTTGGTTGTTAGTGGCCGTGTAGGTGATGAGAATAAACCCAGGTTCTCTACAGGAGCAGCCAGTGCTCTTAACTGCTGAGCCATTTCCCCATCCTCCTCAAATATTTTAAACAGCTAATCTTAACATATTAACTAAATGTAGTCCCTATTGTTCTTGACAATTGTGTGAACCAGGAATAATAAGTGATTGCCTTTTTGGTCTTGCCCTTTTGGGAGTATCAATCCTGTATGCATTGAACGCCTTTGAGTTACTCCTTATTAGGTGAATGTTACGATGTTAATGAGTTTTCAGATTATTAGGGTGTCAAATATTTGTTTTTTTTAAAATCTCCAGAATTATGATGAGTGATAGTGACAAGGTATGATTATGTGTAGTTATTTGGGCACATTTGTAGCATGTCGACCTGAAAGCTGCTGTGTTAGTGCAGTTTCTATTACACTGTGATATCCAGTTCACTTTGTTCCTCTCCTCTCCTGCAGCCTGCCCATCCTCGGTATCTGTTGAAGTAAGTGCTGATGGGGTTAATATGCTACCTTTGTCCACTCCTGTTGTCACAAGTGGTCTCACCTACATAAAAATTCAGCTTGTTAAAGCTGAGGTAGCTTCTGCCGTCTGCCTCAGACTACATCGGCCGAGAGATGCCAGCACATTAGGCCTTTCACAGATTAAATTATTGGGCCTCACTGCGTTTGGTACCACTTCTTCAGCAACAGTTAATAATCCCTTTCTTCCATCAGAAGATCAGGTTTCCAAAACCAGGTATGTTTTATTTCTTACTCTTTAGAAAAAAAGTGTTCTATGCTTGTTTTGAAATTATTTACCCTCTTACATGTTTTTCTGTTTTAGGTCTTAGGAAATGGTTTTTCCATAGGCGCTTATATAATATATAATTTTATTAGGGATAATTCAGACAAAAATTTTGTGGAAGCAGAGCAAAGAGAAATTCAAATTGAGATTTGTGAATGTTTAAATCTCTGAGTTGGCCCACAGTGTGGTTTGTGTGTTTTCGTAGTTTTCAGTTTGGGTATCATAGTGTTATAAAGGGGACTCTTTCTCTTACCTCTCACCAGGGAATGCCTGAGCCATAGAAACTTGCCATAGAAACAGTGAACTAGATGGACAGGGAAAGTCAATGCCAGTTACTAGCAGTATTGTTTCTGAATCAGACAAATGAGCCTAATGGTCCCCTCTTATCAGTATCTTCTGATAAACACTATGCTTTAACTTTTGATAGAAGAGTTTAGGATTTCATTTTTATTCTCAAAGTACCAAGACTTTACAATTTTATATATCTATCATCCTGATCCATTAGTATTATTGTATGTACATAAAAGAACAGTTTATTGCTGGCTCTTTCAATTTTTTTTTTTTGCATTTATTTATTGTGTGTCTGTGCATGTGCACCACAGTGTGTACCATGTATGGAAGTCAAAGGACAACTTGCAAGAAGTTGGTTCTTTCTTTCTACCATGTTGGTCCCCAGGATTGAACTCAGGCCTTCAGGTTTGGCAGCAAGTGCCTTTACCTGCTGATCGCAGTTCTTAAGTAATTATGTTTGTTATACCACAGGGTAAACCTAACGGTGTATTTAATTTATATTGATTCTTTAGCATTCCAGAACTATTTAAAGATAAGTTTGTCTTCTGAAATAATTTGAGCTACTTGTGTTTACCTACAAGTAATTTGGTGTTCTCTACTTCAGTATTGGATGGTTACGGTTGTTACATCATTGCCTTACTCATGTAAGTGACCTGGAAGGAATGATGGCCAGTGCAGCTGCCCCTACTGCCAATCTGCTACAGACTTGTGCTGCATTACTGATGTCACCATACTGTGGAATGCATTCGCCCAACATCGAGGTTGTGCTTGTAAAGATTGGACTACAGTCCACTAGAATTGGCCTGAAGCTTATAGACATTCTCCTGAGAAACTGTGCAGCATCAGGCAGTGATCCTACAGGTAACCATTGACTTTGGCAGAATTTTTGCATATCTACAAAATAATCATAGGTGAACTGTATAATCTTTGTGATTAACTGTTTCTAAAATTCTTAGAACTTCATTATTTTTGAAGTTTGTTTTCTCTTTTAGTTTACAAATGAGATATAATGAATAACTTAAAAACTTCAGCATACCTTTCCATTTCAGATTAGCTTAACCTTTTTATTTTTTATCGCTTGTTCAAGATTTGAATAGCCCTTTACTGTTTGGAAGACTGAATGGACTGTCCTCTGATTCTACAATAGATATTCTTTACCAACTTGGTACAACTCAAGATCCTGGAACTAAAGACAGGTATATGATGGTACTCGCAGACATGCTGTATTGAATATTGCTCATGGTATTTTACCTTAGATGGCCTCATAAAAGTTAAAACAACTGTTGTAAATCCTACATATGCTTTACATGATGGTGGACCTCTTTGAGATATTCTTCAATATTAAGCATTACTTTGTTTGTTTAGACATTGTTTTGGCTAATTTGAATTAAAGTAGAATTCTTAGCCAGTATTGCATTTCAGGAAGAGAGTACAATAAAACAAGCATATCTTTTATTTTTATTTATTTTAAAATACATTAAAAAAATTTTATGCCTATTACCTGCATGAATGTCAGTGCACTTGTGTAGTACTCGAGGTCAGAAGAGGGATTCTTTGAAACTGGACATACAGATGTTTGCTAGCTGCCAAACCTTATAAGGATGTGTCTTAGGTTAATAATTACTAATTACAAAATGTGGGAACTTCATATCCATAGTAGGTACTTCGCAGTAATGTTTTACTTACTGATCTTTTATAATTTTTACTGGCAGCCTCTCATTAGATTCTCTAACCTCTTTTTCCTGTTTTATATGAGGTGAAACAATATTATTTCTATAAATAATACCTGAATGATTTCTACATGTAGGTAATTTTTTTATTTGGTCTTTGTGAGACAGGGTCTCCCTGTAGCCCCAGCTGTCCTGGAACTCACCATGTAGACCAGGCTGGGGCCTTGAATTCACAGAGGTCTGCTTGACTCTGTCTCCCAAGTGCTGGGTTTAAAGGTGTGTGCCACCACGCCCAGCTAGGTAATTTTTATGGGTTGTCCTTTGATAGTTCTACCTCTAAAATTGGTAAGAGTTTCTTTCAACACTTGGAGATATATTTTTGTTTGAGTTTCAGCAACCATCTATCATTCTTACATTTTAATAAGACTTACTTTCTAAATCATTAACAAATTTTTTTAATTTTTGGTTTGCCTGCCATGGCACTAAATACTAAAAAGAAAATGTTACTTGCGTTCTGCTTTGTATGTCCAGGGTTGGGGAGACACATAGGTATTTCTCAGAAAGAATAATAACCAGATTTGGATATATTGATTGCAGTTTAACCCTAAGTAATATAATAATAACTTATTTTTAATGCATTTCTTCCATTTTCTGTAATTCAGAATTTAAAAAATGTTGTTGACAAAGTAATTTTATTTTATATTTAATTAATTAATTAATTAATTAATTAATTAATTTTTGGTCTTTTTGAGACAGGGTATCCCTGTAGCCCCAGCTGTCCTGGATTCGTTATGGAGAGATCCGCCTGTCTTTGCCTCCCAAGTGCTGGGATTAAAGGCATGTGCCACCACGCTCTGCTTAGCCTCTTATCTTTAGAACATAAAATAGTTTAATTTTTTTTCCATTAATGTTTTCACTTTGTAAAATCATATAGTAACTGGGTTACATCTAAAAATTACATTTGAGTAGTTTTTGACCAATTAAAAACATTGTTCTAGTTAGGAATCATAATGGTTATTAGAATCAAAATAGGTTTAAAAAAATGAATGTTGGGGCTGGAGAGATGGCTCAGTGGTTAAGAGCCCTGACTGCTCTTGCAGAGGACCTGGGTTCGATTTCCAGAGCTCATATGGTGGCTGTGAACCGTCGTTAACTCCAGTTCCAGGGGAATCTGAAGCCCTCTTCTGACCTCCGTGTCACTCACATACACGCAGGCAATACACTCATACACATAAAATAAAAATAATAAAATATTTTTTTTTAAAAATGAGTGTTAATTATTATTTCCAGCCAGGCATGGTGACATGGTGCTTTTAATCCTAGCACTTAGGAGGCAGAAGCAGGCAAGTCTCTGAGTTCAAGACCAGCCAGGACTACACAGTGAATCTCTGTCTCAAAAAAAAAGTTACAGGAGTAGTTAGCTTTAAATCCCTTCCTCTTTCTTTCTCTCTCTCTCTCTCTCTCTCTCTCTCTCTCTCTCTCTCTCTCTCTTTCTTTCTTTCTTTCTTTCTTTCTTCCTTTCTTTTTCTCTTTTTTTCTTTCTGAGACAGTCCCTGTAGCTCCAGCTGGGCTGGAACTCCTTATGTAGACCAGGCTGGCCTTGAAATCTGCATGCCTCTGCCTCCTAAATGTTGGAAATAAAGGCATGCACCACCATGACCAGCTTATTCTTTTCATTCTTAAAAAAATTTCTCCCCTTTGGGTTTTTTGAGACAGAGTCTCCCTGTAACCACAACTGGCCTAGAACTCACTATGTGTAGACCAGGCTGGCCTCAATCTCACAGAGATCTGCGTACTTCAGCCTCCTGAAGTGCTAGGATTAAACAAGTGCGCCACTGTGCTTGGCTCAGATTCTTTAATTTTTAATTTTTATTTTTATTTTATGCGTATGCATGTATTGCCTGCGTGTAGGTAAGTGCATTCATGTTGTGCAATGCCCACGGAGGACAGAAGAGGCTGTAGGATCCCGTGGAACTGGAGTTATGGACAGTTGTTAGCTGCCATGTGGGTGCTGGGATTCAAACCCAGGTCTTCTTCAAGAACAACCAGTGTTCTTAGCCGCTGAGCCATCTCTCCAGCCCCAAGATTCTTAAATATTTAAAATTTATTTTTTTATGAGTAAAATTAATTTTTTTTGCATAATGCTTTTTAAAACATGAATACTTAGAAGTGACACTAATGAATAGACTCTTGGATTCTATGTGTAAAGAAAATATTTTTCTCTAAATTCTCCATCTTTTTCTCTGAATTGCCTTTATTTCGTATCATATAAAATTGAAAATTTAGAAGTCTGATCTCCCAGTTCTATAGTGTTCAAGAGGGCTGGGAATTGAGAGAATGAGAAATGTTAAGCAGTATTATATGCCTTATATTGTCGTTTCTTTTAATCTGAAGAAAAAAATGGGGTATTTCAAACTAGAAATTTGAAAGGAAGCCTACCAAATAAATACTTGGTATTTAAGACTTTGATAGTACATCTCATTCCATTTTCCTATTTTTATCACCTGTAGAGCATTGTTTACTTAACAGTCTTTCGCTCTTAGGTAGTGATCCAATGAATATTTCTGATCCCTAGCTTCTGGGAGTTGAGAGTAGGTCGATGCTTGAAAAGGTATAGTTTATAGATATTTTCTGCAGTGAGAACGAGAGTGGATGGCTGCTACTTGTATTTACTATTTGGGTCCAGGGAGATATGTGGTACGAAGAATTAGTCCCATATCACCACTTTCAGACGTATAGAATTACTGTACTGTGAGAAAAAATTTAGAGGAATTTGTTGTATACTTCATAATTCCGAATATCTGTGTATTTTAAGTTAGGTAAAATCCAATCACTACTTAAGTACTGAGTTATAACGTATCTCAAATCATCTTATCCAATTAAATTGGTATGATTATTGGAAAACTAGAGCTGTCATTTTGCTTATTTTAGACTAAACTGATCAAGAACAAACTAGTAGAGCATTACCATAAATATAGTCCGTGCAAAGATGGTATTTGTATTGAATGTCAGGTACGACATTATTGGAATTTATTTTCTTCTTTTAAGAATTCAGGCCTTGCTCAAATGGGTCAGTGATTCTGCAAAAGTGGCTGCTCTGAAGAGAAGTGGCAGGATGAACTACATGTGCCCAAACTCTTCAGCAATAGAGTATGGTCTTCTTATGCCGTCCCCTTCTCATTTGCACTGTGTCGCAGCAATTCTGTGGCACAGTTACGAACTGCTTGTCGAGTATGATTTACCAGCACTGCTGGACCAAGAGCTCTTTGAGTAAGTACAGTTGTGAAATCCTACCCCATTCTTTTTTGTTTTTTTTTCCTTTGTTTTTGAGACAGGGTCTCCCTGTAGCCCCAGGTGACCTGGAATTCACTATGTAGAACTCACAGAGATCTGCTTGCCTCTGCCTCCCAAGTGCTGGGATTAAAGGCATGTGCCACTACACCTGGCCCTACCCCATTCATTTATTGGTAGTTTACTGTAGGTTTTCACGTTTTAGGCAGAATTTTTTATATCTGTATTGATGATAATATTTTGAAAATAAATACAGGAGTTATTTTGAAATGTCAGTTTCATTTTTTTTTCCATGCTGATGATTAAGCCCCCATGCACTTGGGCTTGCCAGGCATGCACTCTACATCTATGTGACATGCCTAACTTTCTTGTTTTAAGATTTATCTTCAAGTATGTTGCCTTCTTTTCTTACTTTGAATCAGGAATATTTGTGTCGGTGTTCCTACAGTGCTGTAGGTATGTTACTCTCGCAAATTTTCCTATCAGATACTTTTTTCTTTAATGTGCAGCTGTGAAAGAAAATGTAGCTGGAAAATTTGAAATTGGCCAGGCATAGTGATGCAATGCCTTTAATCCCAGGAGGCAGAGGCAAGTGGATCTCTGAGTTCAAGGCCATCCAAGGCTGAGTTTGAGACTGTTTCAAAAATAAAAATTCAGAACTTTGAAATCTCAAGCAAACTTGTTTTTGTTAGCATATTTCATTTACTATAGGAATATTTCAAAGAATGAATACTTTTCTAAAAACTGCTGTGCTTTTAATGTGGTATCTTTTATTTCCCAGGTTGCTTTTTAATTGGTCCATGTCTCTTCCGTGCAACATGGTTTTGAAGAAAGCTGTTGACAGTCTGCTTTGCTCAATGTGCCATATACACCCAAATTATTTTTCCTTGCTCATGGGATGGATGGGAATTTCTCCTCCTCCAATGCAGTGCCATCATAGACTGTCGATGACAGATGATAGCAAAAAGCAGGATCTTAGTTCTTCATTAACAGATGACTCCAAAAATGCACAAGCACCTCTTACACTCACTGAATCACATTTGGCAACCCTTGCCTCATCTTCTCAGTCCCCAGAAGCTATCAAACAGTTACTAGACTCAGGGTTGCCCTCCCTGCTTGTGAGGAGTCTGGCTAGTTTTTGCTTTAACCACATTTCCTACTCAGAAAGTATTGCTCAGTCCATAGATAATTCACAGGACAAACTTAGGCGGCATCATGTTCCACAGCATTGTAGTAAGATGCCTATCACAGCGGACCTGGTTGCTCCTGTTCTTAGATTTTTGACAGAAGTTGGCAATAGCCATATTATGAAAGACTGGCTTGGTGGTTCTGAAGTCAATCCACTGTGGACAGCCCTTCTGTTTTTATTATGCCACTCTGGGTCCACTTCTGGGGGACATAATTTAGGTGCACAGCAGACCAGTGCAAGAGCAGCTTCTCATTCTTCAGCTACTACTCCAGCATTGACTACTCAACAGCGGACTGCCGTTGAGAATGCAGCTGTTGCCTTCTTTCTGCAGTGTATTTCATGCCACCCTAATAACCAAAAGTTGATGGCACAGGTAAGAGAACAAAACTGTCTGAGTTTAGGCAGTATCTGGTTAGTATGATAGTATACTCCTTTTGGAATTAGGTAAGCAAGGGCCATGTGATGATAAGGTTTGGATTAAGTACACATAAGAACCTGAATCTAAACCACAATTGAAGTAATATGTCTTCCCTCTCTCCTTGAAATATATGGTCTTATAAATAGTTACTTTTTAGAGTCAGGTGATTAGGAATTTTATGAGCACTATAGCTATAGCTCATACACCCTTTCAGAATTCCCCTAGTTATAAAACAAGGCTAAAAAAACAGTATTGTTACTGTTAGAACTGGATTGACTACTTAACAGTGCCCACTGTATACCATGAGTTGTATTTAGGTATTACATTTTGGCATCACCAGACTGCTGTAGCTGTTGGTTTACCTCTCATTACACGGTACTAGAGTAGGCTTCAGAAGAGAGGCTCTGGATATCCCAGACAATTTATTATCATCTGTTTCTTGCTAAGACTTTTTTTTATAGTTCTAATACACTTTTTAAAAGTAGTTTTTTTAGCCAGGCATGGTGGTGCACGCCTTTAATCCCAGCACTTGGGAGGCAGAGGCAGGTGGATTTCTGTGAGTTCAAGGCCAGCCTGGTCTACATAGTGCGTTCCAGGACAGCTGGGGATACAGGGAGACCCTGTCTCAAAAAGAACAACAACAAAAAAAAGTAGTTTCTATTACATTGTAACCATATTTATGTTAATAAAAATTAGTTCTGCTAGGTCTGGCCCATAAGTGAAAACTCAAGCTGCGTATGGTGCTGCACACCTTTAGTCCCAGCACTTGGGAGCCAGAGGCAGGCGGAACTCTGTGAGTTCAAGGCCAGCTGGGGCTACAGGGAGACCTTGTTTCCCAAAAGAACAAAACAAACCTAAGTGAAAACTCTATACTGGTAATTTCTCTTACCCACAGAGGAATGTTTCTTATACTTAACACTGGTTATTGGCTTGCTGACTTGATATATTAAAGTATATTTGTTAATCCACATTTTTAATTCCCTGTTCATTCCTTGAAATAAAAAATTGTATATTTTGCATTTAACTTTTCTATCTCTTGCCTTGCCAGGTTCTCTGTGAACTATTTCAGACCGCTCCTCAAAGAGGTAGCCTTCCAACATCTGGGAATATTTCAGGGTTTGTACGAAGACTGTTTTTACAGTTGATGCTGGAAGATGAGAAGGTGACCATGTTTCTTCAGTCTCCTTGTCCAGTGAGTAATCATAATTAGTACGTCAGTGTATTACATAGTTTTCCTTGAGAACTTGCAATTATTTCTCTTCGTCTTATTTCAATGTAGCAAACTAAAACTAGAATAATTTTTTATATTTAATGATGAAACTTGAATGTCACTTTGGATAAGTTACTGCAACACTGCGCTTTGGATAACATCACAGTACTGTATTTTGAATAGTGTGATTTGATTTAGGGAAACAATTACAGAATATTTAATACAGCACTACTCATTAAGAAAATTTCCAATAATTCCTATGTGAAGTATGCCACGTGTACAAAAACGTAAAAATAAGCTACTTTGTGTTTTGTTGGACAATTTATTTTTATATTTGAAATTGACTCATAATGGATATGTACTCAAAAACTAACTTCTTAATTTTTTTTTAATTTTGCATTTTTTTTTTCAGCTGTACAAAGGTAGAATTAATGCCACTAGCCACGTCATCCAGCACCCCATGTATGGAGCAGGCCATAAGTTTCGCACTCTGCATTTGCCAGTGTCAACAACACTGTCTGATGTTCTGGATAGAGTTTCAGGCAAGTTGCATTTAAGTGTTGATTTTTCTTTGTTACATTTGTATGAGATTTTACTAATTTAAAATTTTTAGTTTACTGCTTCTACCCCTTTAGAAACTAATAACTAGAAAAATCTAAAGATCTTCATAGTTTGAGGAGGTCTAAGATGCCAGTGAAGTAAACAGGAATGTCTGCGACCTTTAGGCACTAGAGGTTTTCTACCTGTGATATAAATTATGTGTGTAATGACAAGACACTGGCTGGAAATGCAAATAATCTACTGGAAACTACTGGTGCAGTTTCCCATAGATATTCATCCAGCCACTGTATAGTAGTTGAATTACCAAGTATCGGTGGCTGGCTTCTAACTGACTATCGTTTTCTGAATATAGAGGTAAAATTAGTGATAAGAATAAAAAGGAAAAGAGTAGAATTAACTGGTTACCTGTTGTCAGTGAAGAAAGCAGAGCAAACTTTTTCCTCCAAGGTTTCTTGTTTATGTTACAGGATGGTGCTTTTAAACAACATGACAGTATTTTAAAGAAAAAGCTGTTTTTAATGGCTACTTGAGCAACAACTTTAGATAATTCAGGTTTACTGCCTGTATCTGGTTTTTGACTTGAATATTAAGTACCTTGTAATTTTCTTCATGTTCTGCCCCCAACTGGGATTCAAACCTACTAAGCATACTAGTTGTACTAACAGTCACTAGACAGTGCATGCTGGTCAAGCCTTCCACACGAGCCAGCATTTCTTTGTGTGGAGTGCTGACTGGAGGTCAGAAGACCAGTGTCAGATCCCCTGAAACTGGAGTTAGATATTTTTCTATTCTAGTGATTCCCCCCCCACACACACACACATAAAATTACATTACATGGAATAGTTAAAAAGCTTTTATAAGTTGGGTTGGAGCTGACTTTCAAACATTGATGATGGAAATTTTCTGTAAACCTCTGTTGTCTAGTTATTGAGCACATGTAGAGTACTAGTGAGACTTTCAGAATCTCTAATTTTAATAAATTTAAGTACTGTATTAAAACTGAACTTTATTTTATTTATTTATTTATTTATTTTTGTTGATATAGTATCCTACAAAACCTTCTGAAATAGTGTTGCTTCCTTTCTTAATGATTTAGGAAAGCATTGTATTTTAGACACTCTTTTCTTACAGATACTCCAAGTATCACAGCCAAACTAATTAGTGAACAAAAAGATGATAAAGAAAAGAAGAACCATGAAGAGAAAGAAAAAGTTAAGGCAGAAAATGGATTTCAGGATAATTACAGTGTTGTTGTTGCTTCTGGTATGCTTTCTACTTATCCTTATTTTATGTTTCAGTAAAATACAACAGCTTATATTTATAGAAACACCATGTAGTAAAATAAATATACTGATTGAAAAGATTGACATATTATGTTTTAATGCTAGATTTTAAAATATTGCACTAGAAATCTGTGACTGTCAGTGGAAATGCTTAGCCTTTGAATACCCAAAGTTTACTGTACTTCATCAATATTGAATATGTGAATAGCCTAGATATTTAATTTTGATTTGATAGCATACCCTTACCCTTACTTTAATTATTAGGAATGTTTGTGTAAAGTTTTTCTTTAGAAACATAATAAAACAAAAATAATGTTTTGTGGATTTCCAGTCTGTTTATTATAAAAAATTGAATATTAAAGATGGCTTAAAAATTACTTTCTAGTATTGCATTTAGAGAAAAGAAAAATATCAAGAATAAGTGATGTTTGGGGGCTGGAGAGATGGCTCAGTGGTTAAGAACACTGGTTGTTCTTGCAGAGGACCTGGATTCGAATCCCAGCACCCACATGGCAGCTAACAACTGTCCATAACTCCAGTTCCAGGGGATCCAACAACCTCTTCTGTCTTCCATGGGCATTGTATGACACTGGTGCACTTACCTACATGCAGGCAATACACACATACACATAAAAATAGTAAAGAAAATATTTTGTAAAAGAACACATGATGTTTGGGGGATTATTTTTTAACAGAATTGAGAGGTGCTTTTAATTGAAATGAGAGGCTCCACATTAAAACCAATGTGATGACAAAGAATAATCATAGCAATGTTTTAATTTTTTTGGCAATTGTAGATTGAAATCCAGCTGTTTATGGTCTGTCATGAAGGACAGTAGAATTGGGAGATTAGATACTAGATTAAAGAAATGCTTTATTTTCGTTTTAGTTGGGAATGCATATTTTGTTAAAATACTTTAGAAACACATTTTTGCTTTATATTAATGAGTTGAGCACAAAATAACTACTTCTTTTCTTAAGGACTGAAATCGCAGTCTAAGCGAGCTGTGTCAGCTACCCCACCTCGCCCACCATCCAGGAGGGGAAGGACAATGCCTGATAAAATGGGAAGTACCTCCTCAAGTGCAGAGGCTGCCAACAAGATAATCACCGTCCCAGTGTTTCATCTGTTTCACAAACTCTTGGCAGGTAATATTCATGATGAGTAAACATCAAAGAAAATTCTGAGAATCTTTTTTTTTTTTTTTTTTTTTTTGGTATTTTTGAGACAGGGTCTCCCTGTAGCCCCAGCTGGCCTGGAACTCATTATATAGACCAGGCTGACCTTGAACTCACAGAGTTCTACGAGCCTCTGCCTCCCTAGTGCTGGAATTAAAGGCCTGCGCCATCACACCTGGCATAGAAAATTCTGAGAATCTTAAAACTGCATAAACCATGTGTTTGACCAGTTGCTTTGGATGAGGTAAATAAGGTATTGAGTCTTTTCCACACTTTGAAATAGAAATAAGTACACAAAATGTCCGTTCTATTGTTGTTAAGTTACTCCTTTCTACTTTAATGGCTTCTAACTTCTTCTCTTAAAATAACACGGAAAGTGAGTCATAGGAGAAGTAACCCCAGACAAATTTTGTGGGTATACTTCTAGCTGTGGACTCTGAGCTAGATTGTTGCTAGTGAATATATTCTTCCCAGCTAAAGTTCTTTAACCAGTGCTTTTCATTGGATAAGGTGATACTTCTGTGCTGTGTCATGATCTTACTGCCAGCTAACTTGGAATGATCTCCTTTCTCAGCTTTACATCCTGAGTTTATAGCAGAAGTCAAAACTGACTGTTGTAAATAGTTCTATTGCAATACTACTTTGTCCACTTACTAATGTAGCAGCCTTTGCAAGAGGTGCTGCTTTCAACTATATGAGTCCCCATATCTTAAAATATTTATCATGTTGGGCATGGTGGCATGCGCCTTTAGTCCCAGCACTCGGGAAGCAGAGGCAGGCAGATCTCTGTGAGTTGAAGGCCACCCTGGTCTACATAATGAGTTCCAGGACAGCTGGGGCTACAGGGAGACCCTACCTCAAAAAGACAAAAAATAATAAATAAATAAATAGATAGATAGATAGATAGATAGATAGATGGATGGATGGATAGATAGATAGATAAAATATTTGTCATCTAACCCTTTGTGAAGATGTTTGCAAGGGTTAGAATTTTAGAGTATCTGTTCTTTCATTTCTGTTTTGACCATGGTATTCTACTTACACACTTTCTTCAGACATTATATACACATATGTTGGAAACAATTCAGTTTTGGGAGATTTCTCCATGGGTAATTTCAAATTGTTTTGAAATTGGTATATGGATCAAACACCTGTGATTGAGTAAAAGTAGTAAGTAAGCATTTAAGAATGTCAAACCAAATAAAGATGTCTCCCTCTTTGGATTCTGTTTTAACCTATGTCGTTTTTAGGTCAGCCATTGCCAGCTGAAATGACGCTTGCCCAGCTTTTAACTCTACTCTATGACCGAAAACTCCCTCAAGGTTACCGTTCAATAGATCTTACTGTAAAATTGGGATCAAAAGTTATCACAGACCCAAGTCTCTCAAAAACAGATTCTTTTAAAAGACTGCACCCTGAAAAAGGTATGTATATGATACTACTTTAAAACTTGCAGTTGGGGGGTGCTGGAGAGATGGCTCAGTGATTAAGAGCACTGACTGCTCTTGCAGAGGACCCGGGTTCAATTCCCAGCACCCACATGGTGGCTATGAACCATCCTTAACTCCACTTCCGGGGGAATCCGAAGCCCTTGTCTGACCTCTGCAGCATTGCACGACATGGGTGAACTCACATATATGCAGGCAATACACTTGTACACATAAAATAAAAATAATAAAACATTAAGAAAAAAAAGTTGCAGTTAGGATCGGAGAGATGGCTCAGCCCCTAAGAGCACTTACTACTCTTGCAGAGGACCTGGATTTGGTTTTTGGCACTAACATGGCAGCTCACAACTATCTGAAACACCACTTCCAGGGATCTGATGCCCACTTTTAACTTACTCAGGTGCTACACACACACCTCTTGTTCCTACATACATGCAGGCAAAGCATTCATACACATGAAGTCTAAAAAAATTTAATCCATTTTTTTAAAATAAAAAACTACCTTAAAAATAGGGGGCTGGAGATACGGCTCAGTGATTAAAAACACTGACTGTTCTTGCAGAATACCCAGGATCAAATCCCAGCACCCACATGGCAGCTAATAACCATCCGTAACTCCAGTTCCAGGGGATCTGATGGCCTCTTCTGTCCTCCGCAGGCATTGCACGACATGGTTACACTTACCTACATACAGGCAATACACTCATAAAATAAAAATAATTAGTAAAACATTTTTTAAAACCACCTTAAAAATAAAAGAAACTTACACTCCTAAGTTGGCAAATAGATGAGTAAAGTACTTGCTGTGCAGGCAGGAATACCTGAGTTTGATCATGAGCACCCACATGAAGAAAGTTGGATATGTTGGTTCATGTTTGTAATGCCAGCATTGCTAGGTGAAGACTGGTATCCTTGACACTTATTAGCCAGCCAACCCAGCCTAATCAGTAAGCCCCAGGTCAAAGGAAAACTTTGTCTCAAAAATTTTAAGATGTATGGCTCCTGAAGATTGACACCCAAAATTGACCTCTGGCCTTCACCTGCATGCACATGTGTGTACACACAACAGAACAACTTTTTCATCTGTCTATCAAAGACAGTACTTTCTGTCATTGAGCCAGTGGATTAATTGATCTGTTTTTTTCATTACATCAAGTATTATTTTGTCACTGACATTTTGTGAGTATTGAACATTAACTTTTTTAATTTGGAAATTGAGTTAACTTCACTTAGTATCCATCACTTTCCAGATGGGCATATATGGTTTCATTTCTCACATTTTTGTAGAATTATGTAATTGATCATTTTATTGTCAGAGGTCATAACTCTTAGTTTCACTTACTGATAATTTTTATTGAAGTATTTGTAATGCTCATTAAGATTTTTGTTTATTTTTTATTGAATTTTTGTGTATTTCCTACATAAAATCATCTTTATACCCCCTTCCCCTTTGACACTCTCCCATACCCTGCCCCCCAGAGTTCATACATTCTGTTCTTTGTATTAAGACCTATTATGTAAAGTTAGTGTCCCAAGATGTCCCTCAATGCAAGTTCATCCAACAGGGTTTAGTCAGTCTCTCCCTTCAGGAAGATCAGTTCTTCCTCACCCAGCAGTAATCAACTGCCAATAATTCTTCAGCTGAGATTGGGGATTGCTGTTCATTTCCACAGTTCTGTGCTGGGTTTTTGTCTGCCTAAGCTTGCGTGGGTCTTGTGCATACTGACACCATTGCTGTAGGTTTGTTTGAGAAGTGTCCCAGGTGCCTCAAGGACTCTTTCCGTTTGGTCATGCACCTCCTCCCTGGCTCTTAAAATCTTTCCACCCCTTATTCTGCAATGGTCCCTGAGCCCTGCGTGGATGGACCTCAATATAGGAGTCCTGTCCAAGGACCCACATTCTACAGACTCTTAGTCTCTGTGTTTTGGTCATTTGTGGCCTTTTGTGTTCCTGGCCCTCTGTTAAATGAGGGAGCTTCATGTAACTGAAAGATGCATTAGTATTCTCTTCAACCCTTGTTGAGTCTTAGGTGTAGAGGTTGCTTCCTAGATGTGGCACTTAAACTTGGGCAATTCACATATAATCTCTGTGTGTGACCAGTTGTGGAACTCTGTAATTATCCCTGTCTCTTGAAAAGAAGCTTTTTTGATGGGTGGTGACTGGGATATTTGTCTATAAATTTAAGGGTCCACATTTTGCACAAAGTAAGAAATTATATTTGTCTATGAGATATAAGAGCTTTGGGGTTTACTCTAAGATCTATGACCTCACCAACTATGTATATTTGGCTAGGTTTACAGTAACCAGACATGAGTTTCCTCCCATTGAGTGGGCTTTAAGTCCAATTAGGTAACTGGTGATTACCCTCAAGGCTCATTAAGATTTTACTATAGCTATAATTGGGATCATACATTTTGTGTCTTTATGTTTTACTTACATAGTCCATTAAGTATTTTAAAATGTACGTGCTTGAAATTTACTCCTTTATGTATGAATAGAGCAAAATTTATGTTACCAAAAGAGTTAAAATGTTCTAATTGCTTCTGATTTTTCACTGCCTACATGCTGTATATTTATACATTTATTAAATAATGACTTTCACAGTGTGAGTATTGTATCATTTAAACTTTGGATCTTTCTCATGATTAAAGTTCAAATCTTGCTGGGTATGGTGGCGCACACCCATCACTCAGGTGGATCTCTGTTGAGTTCAAGGCCAATCTGGTCTACATCGTGAGTTCCAGGCCAACTAGGGCTCCAGGGAGACCCTGTCTCAAAAGGACCAAAAAATAAAGTTTCAAGCCTTAGTTACTGGCCGTTTGTATTCTTTAATGGTGTTGCTGTTTTCTTATATCAAACTTGGAGCAGAATCATTTGTCCTGCTCCTCCATCGCCTTAATTTTACAAGGTCTAGTTATTGATTGAACATAGAACCTCTTGGTTTTCTTAGTAATTCAAAGGTAAATCAACATGTTATAATTTTTGGTTTCCAGGAGGTCATTCTCATCATTCACTTTTCCTAATCGTATAAAGTATGCTTTATGTACATTATATGCTAATAGTCTTTTGGGTAGCTTTTGAAAAACAATATATCTTAGAACTCTGTCCTATAGGACAGTATGTTTCAAATGCCTGTGTACCTACAAATCACCTACAGAATCAGGTTAAAATGCAGATTGTTTTCATTTAGTAGTTTTGAGGCAGGGCTTACTGCATATATGCTCTTAGGTATTTCTGCATTGCATGATTAAGAGATTGCAAAAGGCACTGTCAGAGCCTATTTAAAGGTCATGATAGTGTCTGACCTTAATACAATAGTACCTAGATACTGATGGTATTTAAGCTTTTTTGTTGTTTTGTCTTATGTGTGTTTGTGTGTGTATAAACACGTGTGCATGTGCCATAGCACTCATGGAGGTCAAAGGGCAAAATTTGGAAACCAGTTCTGTTCCTTCCACTATGGGTTCCCAGGTTATCATCAGACTTGTACATACAGCAAGTGGTTTTACCTGTTAATCCATCTTGCAACCTCTGTTCTTTTGTTTTGTACAGAGACGGCCTCAGTATCTGCTTTTATTTTTATTTTTCTTTTGGTCTTTTTGAGACGGTCTCACCGTAGCTATTCCCAGCTGGCCTGGAGCTCACTATATAGACCAGGCTGGCCTTGAACTCACAGAGATCTGCCTGCCTCTGCCTCCCAAGTGCTGGGATTAAAGGCATGCACCATCATGCACGGTATAGTATCTGCTTTTATATAGGAATGAGAATAATGAACATCGATTATTTCTTACATATTGAGTTTTTGCATAATTTATTGTGCAGATCATGGAGAGTTGATCAGTAGCTGTCCAGAAGATGAGGCTCTCACTCCAAGTGATGAGTGTATGGATGGAGTATTGGATGAATCTTTACTTGAAACCTGTCCAATTCAGTCACCATTACAAGTTTTTGCAGGAATGGGTGGACTGGCTCTTATTGCAGAAAGACTGCCCATGCTCTATCCTGAAGTAATTCAGCAGGTAAGCTAAGATTCCTACTGTACCGTATTGCATAGTGAGGCTCTTTGTTCTTTAACTTACTTGCATTAACCTTTCAAGAATATTCCTGGCCCAACAATCTTAGAGCATTGGATAAGTCACAGGTTAGCTCAGGCAGAATTTCATGAGGGTTAGCTGATGATGAAGAATGTCATTTCAGTGTGTCCTTCATCTTGGTGTGATGGTTATTACATTTACATTCTCATTTCTGTATGTCATTTAGATAATGGAATTAATTTTGGTTATTATACTACTGATAATATACTAGTAGTATATTACTATACAACTACTCAGCCTTTTACTTAGCATCTGCTCCTCTCTTAGGTGCCATTTCCAGTTTAGATCATTTAGTTTAGCCTGGATCAATGTTCTTTATTGCTACTGTCTTTGATGTATGTGCTTTCCGTGCTCTTTTATTGTTCAGCAGTTACACCATTTGTCCTAGTAATGTTCTTTACATACAAAAGGGAAAAATCATGTGGGCATTGCAGCACACACTTGTAATATTGGGGCTTGGGAGGCTGAGGCAGAATTGCCAGTTTGAGGCCAGCCTGGACTACATAGCAAGACCTTATCTCACTAAAAAAATGGACACATTTTCCTTTTTCCTGTTTTATATGAAGGCCTAGGATCCAGATTAGGAATGTTTTTTGCATTTTGTTGTCTTATCTCTGTAGTTACCTTTATAACAGTGCTTTTGTCTTTTATGGCCTTAATGTTTTAAAGGTATAAGGATGCAGAAGACTGCTGAACGGGGTTCTAGTTGCCAGATAGGATTCACGTACTCATCAAAACAAATGAAGTAGCAGAGTATAATAAACTATAGAATAAAATTGGAATCCATACTGATGTTTTCCTTACAGCTCAGTGCAAGATAATGTTATAGCAATGACAAAACTGCAAGGTCAGCCCTGGGTAGCACTGTCATTAATTCAAGGAAGAGTTCTTAAAATGCTGGCACAGGGTTAGAAAAATAGCTCAGTGGTTAAGGTCACTTGTTGTTCTTCCAGAGGACCTGAGTTTGAGGACCACAGCATCCATGTTAGGCAGCTCACAACTGCTTGTAACTTAAGCTCCAGGGTATCTGACCTGCTTCTGGCTTCCATGGGCAACTGCACACACGGAGTATATTCACACAGGCACGTACACACATAAATAAAAGTAAATATTTTAAAATGCTAATATGAATGATTGGAGTTTGCAAGGTGTTTACATAATCTTATACAATCTGTCTATAGTTACTTACCTAATTTTTTAATTTATTTTATTTTATGTGTATGAGTGTATTGTTTACATGTATGTAAGTAGACCCATGTTGTGCAGTGCACTCTGAGGTTAGAAGAGGGTGTCAGATCCCCTGGAACTGAAGTTATGGACAGTTGTTAGCCACCATGTGGGTGCAGGGAATCCACCTGGGTGCTCTGCAAGAACAGATGGTGCTCTGTTTTTTGTTTTTGGGGGTTTTTTTTTTTGGTCTTTTTGAGATAGAGTCTCTCTGTAGCCCGAGCTGTCCTGGAATTCACTGTGTAGACCAGGCTGGCTTTGAACTCACAGAGATCCGCCTGCCTCTGCCTCCCAAGTGCTGGGACTACAGGTGTGCGCCACTACGCCTGGCCAGATGGTGCTCTTCTTAACTTCTGAGCCATCTATCTAGTCATCTCTTAACTAATTATAATCAGTTATAGTTGTTTATAAGCAGTTGTGAGCCCCTACTTAACTAATTATAAACAGGAAAATACAGTTTTCACATATACCCTGTCATATTCATGACAACATAATGTTTTGATATTTGATACCTTGTCTTTTTTTTTTTTTTTAATTTTTTTTTAATTTTTTTTTTCTCATTGCAGCTGGTTTGTTTGTTATTTTGTTTGTTTGAAGCAGGGTCTCCCTGTAGCCCCAGCTGGCCTGGAACTCACTATGTAGACCAGGCTGGCCTTGAAGTCACAGAGATCCGCCTGCCTCTGCCTCCCAAGTGCTGGGACTACAGGCATGCGCCACCACACCCGGCGATACCTTGTCTTTTAAAACAAGTGCCCCCTCAGAGCTGGAGAGATGGCTCAGCGGGTTAAGAACACTGGTTGTTCTTGCAGAAGACCCGGGTTCGAATCCCGGCACCCACATGGCAACTAACAACTGTCTGTAACTTCAGTCCCAAGGAATCTGACTGCCTATTCTGACCTCTGCGGGCATTGCATGATACAGGTGCACTTGTCTACATGCAGGCAGTACACGCATACACGTAAAAATAATAAAATTTAAAACAAGTCCCTTAAGTCTTTATGTTACAATGTTAGGTTTTTTGTTTTTTGTTTTTTGTCTTTTTGAAACAGGGTCTCTGTGTAGTCCCAGCTGACCTGAACTCACTATGTAGACCAGGCTGGCCTTGAACTCACAGAGATCCACCTGCCTCTGCCTCCCGAGTGCTGCCTCCCGAAGTCCTTCATTTGAAACTGATAATGAAACATGCAAATACTATACCATTTTTTTTTTTCTTTCAGGTGAGTGCTCCAGTTGTGACATCTACCACTCAGGAAAAACCAAAGGATAGTGATCAATTTGAATGGGTGACCATAGAACAATCTGGGGAGCTAGTTTATGAAGCCCCAGAAACCATCGCATCTGAGCCTCCACCTATCAAGTCAGCAGTACAAACTATGTCTCCCATACCAGCACACTCTTTGGCCGCTTTTGGGTTATTTCTCCGCCTTCCGGGCTATGCTGAAGTGCTATTGAAGGAGAGGAAACATGCCCAGTGCCTTCTTCGATTGGTATTGGGGGTGACAGATGATGGAGAAGGAAGTAAGTGTTTAGTGTTACTAATTAAATTTATCAAAACATGCACAAGTAGGTAGAGTAAAATTGTCCAGATTATTGCCTGTTCCTCATGTGCTTCTTTTATAGTAAGGCTGTTTAGATGACTTATCATCAGTGGTGCCTGGTCCAGTTTTAGACATAATATTTCCTAAAGAGCTTCTATAATTATTTTGTAAGTATGTGTTGAGTGCTCACAAAAGTGCTGAGTATCGGGCTAGAGAGATGGTTTAGCACTTAAGAGCACTGGTTGCTCTTACAGAGGACCAGAGTTCAATTCCCAGTACCCACATGGCAGCAAATAGCTGTCCATTACTCTGATACAAGGGGATCTGACACCCTCTTCTGACCTCTGCAGACATTGCATGATGTGGGTGCACCTACTCCCATGTAGACAATAAATTTATACACATAAAAACAAAACAAAGCAAAAACCTGATGAGTTTCATTGGAATGTTATAAATATGTGTCTTCCAGTCACATGAGCATATTTACCTAAAAAGTTATAAAAGGCTTTGAGCTGAGTGTTATGACTGTACTTTTTTCCCCCCAGATGAGTGAATGAAATGACATAGCAGCTTTTGGAGGTGAGGTGCCCAGAAGATAGGCAAGTTTTAGTTTGGGGTGAGTTATTTCAGAAAGGAATGTTTGGAGGCACAGAATATATGAGCTAGAAGGCTAGCATGTGCCTATAATCTCCGAGCTCGAGAGGCAGGGGCCAAAGGATCAGGAATTCTAGAGTGCCCTTCACTGCATAGTGAGTTCGAGGACAGTCTCATCTACATGAGGCTTTTGTGTGAAAAGACAGCAAAACTGCCTCCTTTAAAAAGTTCTTACTCGGGGGCTGGAGAGATGGATCATCAGTTAAGAGCACTGACTACACTTGCAGAGGACCCGGGTTCAATTCCCAGCACATGGTGGTTAACAACTATCTGTAGGCCCACTTCTGATGCTTTCTTCTGACCTCCAGCAGGCATTGCATGATACGGGTGCCTACACATGTACGCAATAGACTTCATACACATAAAATAAAAATAATGAATAAAATGTTTTTTTTTTTTTAAGTTCTTATGGTAACAAGTCATGGAAAAGCTTAGATTTTTTGTTTGTTTTCTGATTACCAATAACATCGTCAAAAGTTCACTTTAGAAAAAAAAGAAAAAAGAAAATGATTCAGGAAAAGTAATTTAAGTGCCAGGCCTAAAGTCTAATCGGCATCACAAAAACTGTTCACAGCTGTTCCATCAATGTTAATAGAAATTAATTTTCCTATTATTTTAGAATCATATGATTTTTGAATAAAGTAGTTTTATTTCATATGCCATTTACAAAAAATACACTGTTAAACTTTATGGCAAAAGTTTATTTAATCCAATAAAATTATATGCACTTAAACTTATGAACTTAAACTTAACCTATCAAATTATGAGGGTTTGTATTAAGTAGCTTGAGGAGTAAGAACCAGTGTATTTTAAGACTGTTAAAGACCATAAACAGAAAAAGAAAAAAAAAAAAGGCCTTTCTGTCTGTATAGACTTCATGTCGTGAATATATGGTGAATATACGTATACGTAACATTATACAGTTACGACGGCCTTTGCTGCACTCAGCTCATCCCCCTTCCTATAGCACTGGGTTCCTGACATTTAGCACTTCTTTCTGATTCTACAGCACAAAACTACTGTGTAAAAGAAAATACTTTGTTCGTTATCTATTCCTGTGGAAACCCCTCCCCAGGCAACAAATTATTTTCTTATTTTTGTAAGAAATTTCTTTTTCACTGGGCATGGGGGCCTAGAGGCAGACAGAACTTTGCAGTCAGCTTGGTCTGCATAGAAAGTTCCAGACTGGTCAGGGCTACATAGAGATCCTGTCTTAAAATAAGAAAAGAGATTTCCTTTTTTACTGGTTAAATTTCATTTTATATTCTAGTTTGTAATAATTTTGATTTCATTGATAGCTGTTATCATATGTATGTGTAAACTTTAAGAGTTTGTATATACTGTTTTTATAGGCCTTTTCTTGGCACTGTTATTAAAGTAATAGGATTCTACCTGGCATTTAGGCTGCTTTATAATCGATTTAGTGAAGTAATTTTATAGTCAGTATTAATTTGTGTCCTGTATATTTTTTCAAGTATTTTTAATTTTAGTCATCTTCTGTTTTTATAGGCCACATCCTGCAATCTCCATCAGCCAATGTGCTTCCCACTCTCCCTTTCCATGTTCTTCGGAGCTTGTTTAGTGCTACTCCTTTGACAACTGATGATGGTGTGCTTCTGAGGCGGATGGCTTTAGAAATTGGAGCATTGCACCTCATTCTTGTCTGTCTCTCTGCTCTGAGTCACCATGCACCACGAGTTCCAAACTCTAGCCTCAACCAAACAGAGGTAGGTTTTATTTCTTTCTTCTTTTTTTTTTTTTCTTTTGGTCTTTTTGAGGCAGGGTCTCCCTGTAGCTCTAGCTGTCCTGGAACTCACTGTGGGGACAAGGCTGGCCTTGAACTCAGAGAGATCCGCCTGCCTCTGCCTCCTGAGTGCTGGGATTAAAGGCATGTGCCACCACGCCTGGCTTCTTTTTTTTTTTTTTTCTTTCAAGTTATGCTAAGCTAAACTTCATTAAGCGTAAAGTTATTTCTAAACTAATATTTCAGAATATGTGAGTTCATTTTATGTCTGCAGTAGAATATATAAAAGAGAAACTTTTGCTTGTGTTCTCTACTAGGATCCTTCAGAAAATCACAAATTAACCCACCTGTTTGAAAAGTAGGAAAGCTATTCAGAGCTGTCTAATTGGCCTTGATGTGCTGGATAGATGCTGTGATCCTTTCTTCTTTATGAACTTTAGAGAACCATACTATTGAGTAATAAGTTCTATCTAGTACAGTAAGACACAAAAAGAAAAAAAAAGTTCTTATTTCCTATTGATTTGATTGATATTGTAGAACAATCTAAAAAGAATTGATTTAACAGTTTATTGAGGATACAATACATGGGATCAGTATACAAAATTGTTTCCAGGGTTGGGGAGACGTTTCAGTCAGTAAAGCACTTGCTGTGCAAGCATGAAGACGTGAGTTTGGCTCTCCAGCACACATGTAGAAAATTAGGTGATACAGCACATGCCTCTAATCCCAGTGCTGAGGAGGCCAGCCGTTCTAGCCAAAACTGTGAGCTCCATGTTCAGTGACAGACTATGTCTCAAAAAATAAGGTGGAGAACAATTGAAGTCCTGATGTTGACTTCTGGCCTCCTCATGAACATGTGCCCACACACAGAGAATTCTTTGCATAAAAGATACCTTTTACAATAGCATCAAAAATAGAAAATTATGTGTAAGACCTCTTCATAAAATTTACATAACTCTTTAATAGTTCTCCCTGTATTTAGCTCCCATGCATTAGATAATACAGCAGTGCAATTACATAATTTCTTTCCAAATGATTCCGTAAATTTGATGCAGTTCCTGATTCATTTTTAAGAAACTTGGCATGCTGTAGCAAACACATAGTACAAACCTTACTGTGAAACAGTGGTACTAGTAACAAGGATAGCTTGAAGCCAGGCACACAGTTCTGGCAGGTATGCATAATAGATGCATGCCTTGTATATGGTAGCCCGGTGCATGGCATCTCATCATAGCATTATGAAGTAAGTATGGTCCTAGCAATACAAATCTCTAAGCTTTCCGTGCTCTGTATGAAACAATTAATATTAAGGAGTTGACAGGTCTAATTGTATGCCAAATTAGAAAATATATTAGATATCTATTAACTACAAATGATTATTGTTTTTATGATCTTGCAGTAGACAAAGATTTCTTAAAAGAGATTTTAAGAAAAGCACTAACCCATAAGGAGGAAAAAAAACCTAACATACATAATAGAATTAAAAACTTTGAAAAAAATTGATACATAATTGTTCATATTATAGGATACAATGTAATGTCCCAGTACATGTACACCACATAACTTTAATCAGATCATCGTAGTTAGTGTACAGATCACCTTTAAACAGTTAAGATTTCCTCATGATAAAATTGTTCAAAATCCTTTCTTGCCATTTTGATACATATATTATTTTATTTTCTAAATATAATTGTTATACTGTGCATTATTAATAGCAGAATTTAGTTTTTCTGTCCCATTGAAATAGCACAATCATTTACTTACCTTTTCATCTACCCTCCCAATTAAGAACTTTTCCTTAGGGCTAGAGAGACATCTCAGCATTTAAGAGCACTAATTGCTTTTGCAGAGGACCTGAGTTTGGTTCCCACATGGCAGCTCACATCTGTCCAGACCTTCTGACCTGTGTAGACATTGCACATGCTGGGTACACTTAAATATATTGCATGCCAAGCACTCCTACACATAAAATAAAAATAACTCAAAAAAAATTCATGAAAAGGAGCTTTTCCTTTTTTCATCAAAAATATTAGAAGCCTTGTCTGTTGACTTCAGCCTATAGTCCTAGCACGTGAGAGCCTGAGGCAGAAAGATTGCCGTATGAGCCAACCTGAGTAAGATCCTGTCCCAAAAATGAAAAGCAAACAAATACCAGAAAGAAGGGGCTTATAAGAGAGCCCAGTGGGTAAAAGTGCTGGTTGGCAACCTAAATTTAGTCTGTGGAACCCACAATGGTAAAAGGTGAGAACCTGCCTCTACTAGGCATGGTGACGCATACCTTTAATCCCATCACTCAAGAGGCAGAGGCAGGTGGTTCTCTGTTAGATGAAGGCCAACCTGGTCTATATAGCAAGTCCTAGGCCAACTGGGGCTACAGGGAGATCCTGTGCGTTGGCCCCCCCCAAAAGTTAACTTCTGACCACAGGACAGAGTGAGCAAGGGAGTGAGAGCAGGAAAACTAAAGAGGGCGGGGAGCAAAAAATGTAGAGTGAAAAGACTAACACCATGAAAAAATTATTTGTGAGATAAATGTAATGAAAAAATGAAATCCAGAATATATAGAGATTTCAAAAGGCAAGGGAATAGACAAATGATTGAAAGGCTTGAATGGACACCTCATAAAAAGCTAGGGCGTGGTGGCGCACGCCTGTAGTTCTAGCACTCAGGAGGCAGAGGTGGGAGGATCTCTGTGAGTTCAAGGCCAGCCTGGTCTACATAGTGAGTTCCACGACAGCTGGGGCTACAGGGAGACCCTGCTTCAAAAAGCCAAAAAAAAAAAAAAAAAGCTATTTAAGTGTTCAATAACACTGAAAAGATGGTTCCCATAAAACCAGGTGTGGTGGTCTTAATCCAAGCACTTGGGAGGCAGAGGCTGCAAGGAGACCTTGTCTCAAAAAATACCAAAAAAAACCCCAACCAACCAAACAAAAAAAACCCAAACCAAAAAAAAAAAGATGGCTTCATTATTATAATCATTATTAAAGTAAAAAGGATTATTGTTAGCTTTGTAGCAGAATTAGAGATCAGCGAGGCGTGGTGGTGTATGCCTTTTATCCCAACACTTGGTAGGCAGAGGCAGACGGATCTCTGAGTTCAAGACCAGCCTGGTGTCTGCCTAGTGAGTTCCAGGTCAGCTGGGGCTGCAGGGAGACCCTGTCTCAAAAAGACAAAAAAAAAAAAAAGAGAGAAAGATGGAATGAGGGTACTATCTGTGGTACAGTGATCTAATTCTTGATTTGCTTGAATAGTGTCTGCATTATGATAATTGTCAGACTTCTTTATTTTATGTTCTTCGGTATATATATTATAGTTCACATAAGGACTTTTGTTTTAGGCTGGGCTTGGTGGTGCACACCTTTAATCCCAGTACTCTTTAGTTCAAGGCCAGCCTGGTTTATATAATGAGTTTTAGGCTACCCACATAGTGACACTCTGTCTCACAAAAGCAAAGAATAAAATAATAATAAATATAAAATTTTATTTTGGTTTGCTTTTGAAATAAGGTCCCAATCATTTATTCATGCTAGTCCAAAATTCCTGAACGCTAGTGGTCCTCCAGCCTCAGCCTCCCATGTGCTTGTACTGCAGGTGTGTGTTGCTGTTCCTGTTTTTTTTTTTTTTTTTTTTTTTTTATGTGTATGCTTGTATTGCCTACATGTAAGTAAGTGCACCATGTTGTGCAATGCCCGTGGAAGACAGAAGAGGCTGTCAGATCCCCTGGAACTGGACTTAGGGACAATTGTTAGCTGCCATGTAGGTGCTGGGATTCAAACCCAGGTCTTCTGCAAGAACAGTTGGTGTTCTTAACTGCTGAGCCATCTCTCCAGCCCCTATTTTTATTATTTTTAATGCATAAATATCTAGCTTTATTCATCCGTACCTGATTGTTTTAGTCAATGTGTATATAGCAATGAAATTTTAGTGATGTGTTTACTATCCTTCCTTACAAGAAGTGAAATTTTCAGGGCTGGATTAATGGCTCAGTGATTAAGAGCACTGACTGCTCTTGCAGAGGACCCAGTTTCAATTCCCAGTACGCACATGGCGGCTGACAACCGTCTGTAAGTCCAGTTCCAGGGGATCCCATGCCATCTTCTGACCTCTGCGGGCATTGCAAGACATGAGTGCACTTATATATATGCAGGCAATATACTCATATACATAAAAAATAAATAAAAAAGTGAAATTTTCAGTTAAGTATCTACAATGGTATACCAATTTATTTGAAGTACTGATGGGGGGTTGTTTTTTACTTTTTGATTTTTTTATGTGTATTGAGTGTTTTGCCTGCATGAGTGTTAAGTGCATCCATGTTGTGCAATACCCACGGAGGCTAGAAGAGTGTGTCAGATCCCCCAGAACTGGTTGTTAGCCACTGCCATGTGAGTCCTGGGATCCAAACTCAGGTCCTCTGGAAGAGCAGCCAGTGTTCTTAACCACTGAGCCATCTCTCCAGCCCTGAAACATTGTTTTTATCTAATATTTTTCCTTGGCAATTATTTCCATAAGAAGAAACAAAAACATTGATATATTTCGTGAGTTACCATTGAAATTTAATTGTAAATGCTTCCAGGGCATGTGCACTGTTAGATTTATACAAAATTGTTTATAGCCCACAAAAAATTAATAAAGATTTAGCCTTCATGGAGATTAAGATTATGTAGCTAAGTCTGTCATTTTTCTGTCTGTACACAGGTCTCATTTTTAATGCTTGATATGCTTCTTTTAACATTTTTTAATTTAAAAATTAACTGAAATTTATATGGGGTGGGAGCACATGCCATGGTATGTGTGTGGAGGTCAGATGACAACTTGTGAGATCCAGTCTCTCTGTTACGCAAGGCAAGTATCTTTACACACTGAGCCATCTAATTGGTCCTTGCATTTTGAACAAGAAAAAAAGTTCAGAATAATTCGTTCTAGAAGTATGAGTAGTCTTGCCTATTATGATAGAAAACATCCTTTTGGTATTTTGATGAAATCTCCTGAAGTAGTATTGGATTGGAGTTCTGAAAAGATCTGGCTCATAACCCTTTCCCTTTCTGTGTTTCCTCTGTTTGGTTTTGACTTGTTGATTCTTTGGACCTCGGGGGTTTACCCTCTGTTTTTCTAATAAATTTTTTGTATATATCTTTGTTCTCTGACTTAGCATTTAGTATTTCCCTCCCTCCCTCC